CTATCATGAGCTGCAAAACCTTGCTTCAAGCACAATCCTTTTGAATACTTAAGCAAATTACGGGAGTTTTTGTAGTACTCTTGTTTTCCTTACTGATTCTTCTTATTACAGTGTCCTCAGCAAGTAGAGGAGGCGACTGTCCCCATTGTGCTAAGTGCTGTACACACACATAGTCGTTCCTGTCCCACAGACCTTGTCCAGGTAGACAGGACAGAAGTCAGAGGAGTGGCATCTAAAAATTGTTATTCTGGTGGCAGCTGAGTCTTTTTCTCTGAATAAGAAATCTTTCACTCTCTTGAAGTCCACATCCGGGCCGTCATATCATAGGGCTTTGTGACAGGCTGTCTTTGATAGTAAATAGGGTCTTTAGGTTGCTTTCTACATCTGGAAACAATGAGATTTTCCACCGATATTGAGAGTCCATGAATCAGCACATTAGTATGTCAGGAATTTTAAACAACTGTGGTGCTACTTTTCCATTTCAGAAAAAGAAAGAGACTGATTAGAGAATGATTAATTACATGGATTCTGTGCCTGATTATCTTTAACAAGATGGGGGATGGGAAGGGGAAGGTTCTTTCTTTAATCTCCTTGTTACTTCAGAATAGCTGCTAGATTTTTTTTTTCCTCCTCCTGGTGTAGAGTTAAATATGGTGGTAGTTATGCACTGTAACACTTCATTTGCTTCTCAAGAAATAGAAGTCCTTGTTTCCATCGCTGCCTGAGGCATTTTTGCATTTTACCTCTTCAGTTTTCCAAAGACAATTGCGTCTCATTTGATCAAACAGCAGTGGATCAAACAGTTTGCCTTGCACCACAGCAGGAAAAGCACATTTTGAGACAAAGACCACATGTTCTCTGCTGTGTTCTCTCTATAAAAGACCTTTCTCTAACCAAAGCCTTGCAAAAATCCAGGACAAAAAAAGAGAGCTTTACATGATCAGTTTCCAGACTTTGAAAAATCAGATCTCCTGTAGAATATTTGTCTTGAATACCCACTGCCAACAAAAAGCAACTACTGCACTGCATCTGTTCTATGAATGTGCTGAGAGTTCTTGTTGCTGAGGTTAGCCCAGAAATCAATGTAGAGCTGCACAAGTATAGAGAATTCAGGAAACTGCCGTGTCTGATCAGGTTGATGGTCTGTTTGCTACTGCCCCTGCTGGGCAGATCAGCTGCCCTCCTCAAGCACTGTGCCTAGTTCAGAATCATGCTTCTTCCATATGATCTGCATTATATATTTATGCCTTGTTCTTCTAGTGATTGTTTTCTGTTATTTATGATCAGAACTTTACTACATGGCCACTGACTCGTTCAGTATTTGTTTATACCAAGTAGGGAGGCACCAGATCAGCTAAAGAAAGCTAGGCTTTAGAAATACCAGCCCTAACATGTTTTGTTTATTACACAGCAAAGAGAACAAGGAACATGTCCTGGCAATGTGATCACTGGTGTGAGATCTCTGATTTGGAACTCACAATTTGCAGCAAAAAAAAAAAAAAAGTGTCTGGGCTTAGGTTAAGTTAATTTCTTGTCCGTAGATGAAGTATTCGGAAGGACGGAACACACTTACATTGTGTTAGGTGGGCTGTGATACCCACAGGTAATCATGGACCAGGAGACATCAGAAATATTATTATCTAAATAAAAAAAACCATAATGTCCAGAATTACTTGGGAGGATGAAATTTGAGATAACAGCAGGAGCTGCCCGCTGGAACACAAAGTGCACAGCGTAGAGTTCAAGGTGCAGAGTTCTGGGACATTGTCCCTGCTCTGTCCATCAGTTGGACTGTTTAGGTATTTCCTAGTTTTAGGCGCTTGATTTTAAAAGATTAGTCTTAGAACTGACTGATTAGTCAGTTAGGACTGACCCTTTTTACATTTCCTCAGGGAAAGATCTGACTTCAAGCATGGTTTTACCTGCAATGACTGTGGCCTATAAACATGTCTCCAGCTATGCTAATTTTTACTCTGCCATTTCTGCCTTTTCTTCAAGAGATATGCTATATCACAAACTTCATTCCTTTTCCTTCACATACTCGCTTCCCAAAGGCAGCCACCTCGCGGAGCCTCTAGGCAATCTGTTAGAAGAACACTCTCAAAATCTGTTACAGCGCCAATGGGAGCAGAATGGGGCACGCACAGCATGCTGTGTCTCATGACAAGGTCAAGCAATCCAGATAAAAAACATCCGTAACTTTTTTGGATCTTTTGGGTTGTTTCACTAGGAAGTAGGGAAAAAAGGTCACCAAAAAAAGAGTTGTTGAACATACTCGCAGATTGCAAAGCACCTTCAGTTTCTTGGAAGCAAGTGTGAACATCTTATTTCTGAAGCTATGAGATTTTCCAGTTTGTTATGATTGAGCGTGTCTGACTTGGGAGAGGAAGCAGAGGTAAGTGGGAAAAGATTTTTATTATTCCATGAAAATTTCTGAGTTCTTGGAAAAACAAACCATCCTGTCACAAATCAAAAGCATTTTTTCCCAAACTAAAATCAAGGTATTTTTATTTGGATAATTGCACATTGTTTTTAATTTAGATATTTGAAAACATGCTGTAAAATACATTCACTTACATAGTGAATTGAAAAATACCATAAACAAGCAGTTCTTATTTTGGTAGCATTGAAATTGTTTTTTTGCAAAACTCTTCCTAAAAGAAGTGCATTGAAGTTGATCCTTTTCTGCAGAAAGTTTCATTTTTGCTGAACTACGTTTTCTTACAAAACAAAAAACAGTGCAGAAATTCCCAAGCAGTGTCACTGAGAAGTTACTGGTATTCTTTTATTTCAGAGTTGAAGATGATTTAGAGAAACTCTTGAAAGTAACCTCGAAACCAAAACCTAAGGTACCGTCAAAACCACCATTACCTCAGAAGCCAGTAGCTGCCCCCAGGAACAACGCTAGTTCATCTCAACTGGCAAAGCCAAAGGAAGACAAGATTCAAAGAATGAATGAAGTGGACATTCTCCAGTATATCAAGGAAAATGAATCTATCGACAACGAAGATACAAGTCTCTTCTGAACATAAATATTTTTAAAAAGTAACGATGCCTTCTTGGTCCAAACTCCCGTTGAGCTCGAGTGATAGTAGCAAGAATTGGCCAGATCACTTTACTGTCACAGTGTCCGTTTATGTATCGTGATTCAGAGACCAGCAAGTTTGACTTGCACAAGCTCGAGCTGATGCTTTCAAAACAGCACAGCTGTGGTGCAACGCCTTAGATTTTCAGGGCTTTACAGGGGATGTGGACAACCACATGGCACTATCAGTTATGTCTAGTACAGTCACATGGCAAATCATTTTAGTATCAACAGCACAATTTTGGCTAGTTTAGTCTTAATTAAAAATAGCAAGCCTGCAGCACACGTGGCGAGTGCGGATAGTGTCCTGAAGCAGGACAGGATGCTGCTTCTGCCATTTTACACAATGTATTTCAGCTCACTGGAAGGGTTATTTTCATTTTCTCCTGTGCATTATTGTAGCAGCCATTTTCTCCCTGACTGGTATTTCAGTAATTTATAGCCTATAACTGTTAAGCATAGGTAACAACTCCTCTATAGTTCAGAGAAATACTGAAATCCCAGACCTTGCTGCTGGCTTTGTAGTTGCACAGCTGCCAACTTGCACGAGAGGTAGTAGGACTGCAAAGAGTAGGCGTTGGGCATCTGTAGCTCTTGGGGAAAACAGTGTATGACTGAAGATGGCTAAGAGCGCAGCTGCAAACATATGCGGAGATTGCAGCGAGTAGGAGATTTGGATGCTGGAGGGCTCTTGAGAGCATACTCAGGATTCACTAAGGCTAACTTTTGCCAGGCAAGCCTTCCTGGGCTTTTTCTGTAGACAGAGTTTTCTCCTGGAGGTGATTCAGTGTAGACATCCTAATTGAGGAGCTTGGAAGTGCTTTTTGGAGTCTCTCTCTCCGTCTCCCTCTCCCTCCCTTCTGTAACTTAAAGAAGGAGCCATGGTGATTAATTCCACGAAGCTAAAATGAGTTTTTTGGTAAAACACCTGTCTTCATTACTGTGGTAGTCCTTATAACAAGACAGGGGCAAATTTGGGATTAGCCAGAGGGAAAAAAGAAAAAAGGAAGGAAATATACTGGAGAAGTTTTAATATGCAGGAAAAGTAAGAAATACATGGTAGAACAGGCATCCTGGACTATTCGTCTTCTTCCTGGACTCAGACTCACTGGCTGAATGCGCTGAATTTACATGTAATGTGAGTTGGTAACTGCTGTCATGTAGAAAGAGACTCCTGAACTCCTGTCGCCTGTGATCTGTACAAGTGGGGAGAAAAGCTCCCCAGAGGGAATACACTAGTATATGTAAGCCATATTACTATCCCTAAATCTGCCTTTTTAATATAGAACAGAATGACTAGAAAGCCTTATATATATGCCTATATTTTTAATAATGAAATTATCTCTGTCAGTATTTTTGCTTTAAGCCAATGAAAAACATGGTAAAGGTATTTTGTGTTGATGGAACAAGTAAAATAAAACCATTGACTCTGCTTCATGTAAAATAGGTTTCAGTATAATAAAACATTTTGCTAACCTGCAGGTATTGTTGTTATTGTTACTTTCTAGGTTGTACATAGCAGCAGATCTGACTTAAAGGATGGATCCCGTTTAAGACATGAAGAGCATTACATGGTGTTAAAGTGCGAGCTCAGCTAAATCCCTATGTAAATACGTATCACACCAGGAACGTAGCTGAGGTCATATTGCCTTTGAGAGCAGCTAGAGGTAAAATTATATATGGGCAAAGGTGGTCCTGACCCTCTCACCGGTCTCAGCGTGTCCTGGTGCAGTTAGGAGGTTTGTTCATATCTGTTCTGCAAAAGGACAGCAAAGGCACTGAGGCGAAGATGAATGACTCGTCAGAGACCACACAGAGAAGAGCAGACAAGGAAGGCGAATTCAGGACACTCTTCCTGTTGCGCTACCTGTTGTCGTGAACAAACACAGTATATTTGGAATCTCGATCTCCCCTGTCTTCAGCACTGCTTGGGAGACTGTGTTTTGGTATTTTTGGCCTGCAGCCCAGCACATGGCCTGAGCACTACTAAAACGACCATTCCAAGGGTCAACTTGAATTTAATGATTAGCAGACTGACTGCAGATCTTCACCTTTAAACAGCAAGGGAAAATGACTAAAGTTCATTGGAATAAATTATAGAAGTAATAGGACAGAGCTGGAACAGACATGGGAAGACCTGTTTGTCCATGGTCTTGCCCTAAGCAAGAACGCCTAGTCCGTGTCCTTCTAGTGGCAGCTGTCCAGGATGAGGTGTTACTAGCGTGAGCTGGAAGGGTTGCCTGGTGCCAGAGGACCACGTGGTGGCTGAACACAGTTAGGCTGGAGCAATACCTGAGTATGGAAACTGAATTCATTTTGCAGTGGCTGTAATTATGCCGGCGTTATTTCTCCTAGATGTTTTTCTAAGCTGTCCTTAGAAGTTTGGCAGGCTGGAGTGCAGTGCTGGGGATGTCACAGCCTCTCTGGGTATGCTATTACGGTACTTTGCCATCCCGATTATTAGAAACATTTTTCTAATGTCTGACGTAACTGTTCCGTATTGCAGCTTAAGCTCATTACTTCTTGTCCTCACAGCCATGCACAGAGAGCAAAGTATCCCCTTCCTCCTCACGTTAGACTGAGACTTCTGAAGATCCTTGATACGTTCCTTTCAGTCTGAAGAGAGTTGTCTCAGACAACTCCCTGCAGTGAGGCAGGCAGCAAGACAGGTCAGGACATCACTGGGTTATCAGCTTCTCATAGCGTGGTGTCTCCTAGCTGTTTGTTGTCACCTTCTCTGTTTTAAAAAGAATGACTGGCTATCCACGTACCAATTTACCTGAGGGAATAAAGGATGCCAGTATCCCACATCCTTTCATTAACACCACTTGGTGCAGTAACACAGTTTGCAGCCTTTGTGCCAGCTGGGCCTATGTTCTTTCCCCGTTCCTCATAGCAATGACGTCTGTCTGCCTTCCGCTATCTCTTAAGTGCTCCGCTCAGAAATTGCTCATGCTTTCACAGAGCAGGAGGACAGGCATTGTATATTACCATCTCAACCATGGGAACGTTCCCAATTCTGCTGATGTAGCAACAGTAGAGCTGTATCCATTTTGAATGGTCAAGGAATACTTTGCCCCTGGCTCTTTCCAGAATTGAAAAATTAGCTAGACAACACAAGGAAGGAAGAACCATTAATTGTTGCCTGAGGTAGATTTTTAAGATGATTTTAAGATCAGTGTTCTATGTCAGAAAAATCTATCATATTTTCCTGTCAAGTAACTAACGTAAAAGGACCCTTCATAAATCCCAGCGTCATACATTTGTTTTACAATGCAAATGTCTAGCTCCAGTAATATTTATAGGCACTTAGAGGTGAGTTACAGTCCTCGAATAAATTATATATAATGAATCATTATTGTACAAGAGAAGAATGTCAGGCTAATGTAGCCCAGAAAAATTGAACATATTATTTGAAATGACATCGGGAAACCACACAACATACTTTGGATCCTGCCAGACGAGAGCTTTTTTTTTTTTTTAAATACATCACTCCTAGTAGCAACTATTTTATTAGCCTGCTCTTGACAACTCTTGAAATTCAATTACGGACTCTAATGTAGTTCTTGGCTGACAAGCATCACCTTTCAGGATCGGTAATAGCTAGCTCATCAGAAGATTTGAAAAGCAATGAATTTAAACCTATACAACAGATGGGTTTTTTGGAGATTAGAATTCATAATAGGTATCTGTACTACTTTAAAAGCTGCTTCGTGTTCTGCGTAACCTTTTTCTGTTTGTTGTGTGATACAGGACTAATTAATGAATAATACTATATGCTTCATTATCCAGGTCATAGTTTAAAATGCTGATTCCACAAATTGAGTATAAAAGCTCTCTGTCCTGTGGGTCATCTGTTCAGGTCTGTTCTGTGCTAAATTTTAAGGAAAATTAATCCCCATAGCAGTTATGGCATAGTTCAGCCAGTAACACTTTGAGTGGGTCTAAAAATGCATTAATCAAAACTGATATTTCTGTATCTTAGCTTAGCTTGCTACAATGTAATACACAGGTCAACCTGTGATTTAAAGTAAGGAAAATCCAGCACACTTACGGGGTATTTAAGCATTAGCTAATAAAAGGAGACTGTAAATTACCAATGGCCTCTGGTCAGTAGATTCAATGTAGAACACAAAAATGCATTGATACGTGATTTAAAAATACAGACTGTCACTAATTTCACCAAGGATTCTTGGATCATTCTCCGTGTGTGTGTGTGTGTGCACATGTGAATCAACCGTGTTTCTTATGGATGAGAGCATGCACCTATTCGTGACAGGAAGCAAGAGAGGGGATTTTTATTGAGGTTTTACTGTAGAGTTTTGTCTATATTCTTACATTTCATCTCGACAGCAACAACAGGACTGAATAAAGTCATTTGATTGCTTTCTGTATTGCACCAATTCTTTCCTTCATTTGTCTTTAAACCCTTCCGATCTGAGTTATTCAGCCCTCACTATATTATTAATCTTTCTCTATAACCCTCCTCATACCACACAGGTGTGGAATGCCGTACGTTGAAACAAATGAGGAATTCAGAGCACAAATGAAGGGAAATGATGTGCTTTTATGTTGAGAGAATTATCTGTAGGGCACGCTGCTTTCAGTAAAAGTATTAGCAATGACAGCTGAAAATGGTAAATTAAATTAATAATCAAATTAAGTTCCACTGTGGGATTGCAGAAGTCAATGAAGCTGTTTAAAGGATTGGTTAGTCATAGATAGAGGCTAAGTTGTTCTCATAGCAGAATGTTATGGATGCTGAAAGTTTGTATGAGGTTAAGGAGGCACTGGCTAGAAGCATGGAAAAGAAATCTATGAAGGGTTGTTAAAGATGCCACTTAGTGTTTGGGAAGTCCTTAAGCTGCAAGTTGCTGGAAGCTAGGAGAATATAGCAAACAGATATTCTCATTCTTCTCTGTAGTCATCTCTGCTTTTGGCCGTTGTGATGAATACCATACTGAGCTAGATGGAACTGGGAGAATTTGCATGCATTCAAAACTTACACTGAAAGAGTCTCCCAGTGAGGATTTGGTGACTGTAAGAACTGGACACCCTCGTCACGTTATCGGCTTACTTCCCAGCACCCTAAATAAGATCTGTCCAGTAGCTATATAACAACAAAAGTATTCCTCATATTTACTCAGAAGAGATTCCTGAAGTCAATGACAATCTTGGTTTGCAGTACTGGCTTCTTCAAAAGCCGCTTCTGACCTATGTGTGCTATTTCTGCAGTCAGCAGTAAGAGTCTTACTGATATCAGAGGAAAACTTCAGCCGTTCCTCAATGCTCCTCCAGATCCCAACTTTAATGATAAGATTAGTAGATAGCATGATTTATCTAGGAAGACAAACGTAAAAGATTTGCCAAGGATGACTTGGCAGCAAATGACATCATCGTAACACCCAGCGAAATTCAGTGGAATAACTCCCAAATAGTGCATCTGATGTTCTTTGATGCTCCTTTTCAGTAACGTGCACAGAAACTTCAGAATTTGAAACCATCATCAAACGCAAAAAGGTATAACAGCCCACTACCCCCGTGCTGCATTAACAGCCACCATAGTTTGCTATTCTTGAGTGTATTGTTTTTATTATCAAGTATGTCGGAATCATAGTATCAGATTCTAAGGTTTAGAGCTGTTAAAGCCATGGAGAAATATGTGGTCATTGCGCCTTCTTGATGTGATACTTTCAGTCATCAGGACCAGATGAAAACTGTCATTTTGTTATTTTTTGCTAAAATAAATCCAAGCCAGTCCCTTCTTGAACTCATGAAATACTCACCTAATGTGATTCAGCCATTCTCTGCCAAAAGCACTGGTTCTGTGCCGTTCATGTCGCTGAAGAGTTGCTTCCTATGTCTTCTAGGGGAGTCATACACAGTCAGTCTAATCTGTCAAAACCCCACTGCAGATCACCACAAGTCTGGTGATGCTGATGTTTGGGGCAGGCTGGAAAGGAATAGGATGTGACACCGTTGTTCAAGCCTGATCGGCTTGCAGAGCACCACTGGGAATGGGAGAAATGTGAGGAAAGAAGGTATCTGCCTGATTTATGCACAGCGCTTCAGAGTCTTTTACTTTCCTTGAAAGACCTGGACTGTAGAGCCGAAATGAACAATTCATTTAATGGTTCTTTTGGTGAGATGAGCTTCGTGGCGTTTCAAAAGAATGTAAAAGCAAAAAAAAAAAAAAAAAAAAGACAGAAAGTCCCAGGATATATACTGAGCACTTTTCTTATTTCTCTGCTAATTTCTGTGTACTTTTTAAGTTTGTCCAGGGAATTGGTGCAAACGATCACAAACTTCTCAGATATTTTTTTTGTTGTAATAATAATTAAAGGCCACTAATTTAACCTCAGAGGTGCTTATACAAATGATTCAGCTTAATAATGTCTGGGTATGTTAAGAAGCTCTTACTGTGAACAAAAATAATTTCTTTACTTTGAATGGTGAGAATCAGCTATCCAGTGCTTTTCCCCCCGTAAGCAATCAAATCTGCAGGCTACTATGATTGATTTTCCTGCTTATGCCTTCCTGTGTCTTGACCTTTAATATCTTACATATTTAATCTTGTGTCCCTGAAAGGAATTTCTTGTGTGCAGAATTGCTGACTAGTTATAGCTGCAATGCCCTACCTAAAAGGAAAACTAAATTCTACCTGGAATTATATGGAGTGTTAATCTTTTTTGTGAAGAATGAAAAACAAATCTGGGGCTGATCTTCATCAGTGGTTTAGTTTAGATCAGGGCAACATTTTCTTAACGGGTCTCCTGATAGCTCCACTGTCCATGTGTTGGTTCCATTCACAGTCCTGCTGTGGAGCAAACTGGTCATCTTTCACATGAAACTCAACTGGAAGCTGTGCTCCAGGAGCACATCCAGTGTGCTCAGGCACTAACGGCCATCTGGTCCAGAGGACCTGATGAGAAGTAGGAATAACTTGTCCGAAATGTGTACAGGTGGGTTCCTGGGCACTCACCACCAGCTATTTCACTCTGTAAATCCTTTGCTATTGCTTGCTGATGTAGTCGGTGCCCGTTTGGTGGTAAACGGAGCCCAAGTTTCAGCTGACCTCAGCATGTTATCTTCCTCTTTTGCAGTAAGGCACTGTACTGGGGGAGCACAATGAGAAAGCAGCA